CCCTGCTGACATACTGACCCATAAACACACAGACAGACATATTAAAACATTCACAGATACATACTGACACACACATACACTGACACACAAATATATACGGCAGACATACTGACACAGACACATACACTGACAGAAATACTGACACACACACAGACACATACATTGACAGACATACTGACACACACAAACATACTGACATACATTTAGCCACCCTCCAACCCCCCTTACCTTTTCTGGAGGGTGGTTTCCCTGGGGTCCAGTGGCAGGCTGAGGCAGTTGGGAGTTATCTTGTAGAACTCCCCTCCTTCCTGCCTTCCTCCTCCCGCGCGACTCTGATCTCCGATGGGAGGAAGTGACGCGCAGCACTCACTTCCTCCCAGCCGGCTGCCAAGCAGGAAGAGGCCTGGTCACGCTGTTTAAGCGTCACAGCACCCGACTGGGCCTCTGCTGACACATGCTCACCGGGTGGCACTTAATGCATGGGCCACCCGGGGGATCTCCTTAGTGTGCGGGACGGTGCGGCTCTGTGCAACCACACCGCCTGGTCCATGGGGGCTGAGCAAATCGCGGAGCCCACAGGGCAGCTGCTCTGGGACCCCAGGAGCAACAGGACCCGGGGCAGCTGCCCCGTTTGCCCCACGCTAAAGACGGCGTGTGTGGGATTAGTATCCTTACGGATACCAAATAAAGGAGCTATGTTCAAAACCACCCCAATCATGCTGTCACGAGGAAAGATTGCCATATTAATGGAAACCAAATAAGAGAGCGATCTACTAAACAGTGGAACACTGTATACTAAACTAAACAGCTTCCTATTTGGGACCCCTAACTGCGGTAATGCCAAACAAGAGACCAAGACAGGGAGTTACCTAGTAAAAAGTTTAAAGATTAAAGGACCACTATAGGCACCCAGACCACTTCAGCTCGGAGTAAATCATACTTATTTGACACTGGACGTCCTCATGAAGTCCAGTGTCAAAAAATATCCCATGGGAAAGCACTAAGTAATGCTTTCCTATGGGCGGGTTTGAATACGCTTGTGCCTCCGGCCGTGCATGTGTATTCGGCTCTACTCGGCAGCTGGCGTTGATGGAGGAGGAGAGGTCACCAGTGCAGAGGGACTGGATAAAGGTAAGCAAATAAATGGTCAACTATTTATTTG